ACGGCTCTTGCTGGGCATCGTTGTCGGTGTTCTGGGGTGCAGTTCGGTTGATCGCAATTGTAACATCTTCGCTCTTGCATTCGGTCTTGTGTTCGACCTCCTCCACCATTTGGATATTGGCCCCGTCCCCTTGCCATTCCTCGTCCCCTGAATCCACGAATATTGCTGATTGGTTCCGTTTTGATCTGCAGGGAACCCCCTGGCGATGGATACGCCATTCCCGTGGAACCGGATGCGACGCCCTTGTAACTCTTTGCGTACTTGTCTCCTCTTTCATATGACATTGCGATTCTCAATGCTTCCTCCGGGGTTTTAGTTTCCCTACACAGCTCGTTCTGCGCGTCCCTGTTCCTCATGTTGAAAATAAATATGTCTCTCACCATTTTCCGCTCCTGGGTGCCCAAATTGCATCTTGCCGCCATTCCACTAAGTTCTGCATAGAACGATTCTAAGCTTTCACCCTCCTTTTCTTTCCTTGACAAAATCTGGTACATCTCGTACGTTTCGTTTCGCTCTTTCTGAAAAAGAGCTACACAGGTATCCAAAAAACGTGGGTATCGTATTGTTTCCATATCTAAATGTGGATGCTGATTATGCAAGGCTCTCTGTCCCTCGTGACCCAGGCATAAGTACAGATTCGATATCAGTGTACGTTCACCTTCTGCCCGTGGTTTTCCACCAATGTCACCCAGGTCAGTAATCTGTGCTTCAGTTAATGTCGATGCAAAGTAATACTCCGACGAGACTAGTCCATGTTTCGCCACCATCGCCCAATGAAATCTTTGTTTCCAGTGTTCCCATAAGAGTTGTGGTTCCGCCTGATTCGGAGGCCAGAAAGCCACAATTCCAAGGGGGTTTTCCCCCCTCCGTCCACTGGCTGCGCCATAACAAGGAATGATAAAACGATGGCTGTTAAATACTCAATTGACTGTATTCTAGTTCGCATAAATAAGAGAGTGAACTAGAGGTCAACACATAACAGCTAGACAGTTCTAAGTTGATTGACAGGCAGGTACCAAACTCACACTTAATTATAGTATGAGAAATCTCAGAGATAAGTAAATAAAGAATAGCAACTAAGATGATTGACAACTGAACATATTGTAGCCCCTGACAGACTACAATCGGTACTACTGCTAAGAAAAAAGCTCTCATTGGGAAGAACAGTTAGGCAAATATTTTCTCTCCTCTCTATGCCCCCGTAGACACATCAGGCCCCAAAGGATTCTGGTAGCAGCTGAATTTGCAAAATTCGGCTTATAGAGCAAAATATATTATAGAGCAGCCAATTTTTAATCATACGCCAGAGTTAATCGATTTTCTCAAAAACTCTTTCGAAAATCAAAAAATGAATACTGCAATTCTATGTCTCATAAATAACAAATGCGCATCTATGCTCTACTTGACTAAAATTTCCACAAAAACTGCTCCATCTCTTAAAATTACAATAAATTCAACCGTGATTCTACTAACTTTTTATTTGGCTTTCTGAAATGCTGTGCTTATTTTCTAGATTGCGTTTTTTCTCAAAAAGCAATCAAAAGTAAAAAATTTCTGTAATAAGCGCATGATAAAAAACATAATTTTTTTTATAAAAGAGCAGAACTTGCTCTATAATGCAGCAGAAATATCTGGGACTTACAAACACTTATATTTAAAAATTTGAGTTTTATCTTCGAACTAATCAATCAACTATCATCCAAATTTGAATTTCAATTCTCAACTATTTAACAATCCTCCAAAAATTTCAGTGAGTCGACAACTCGTCGAAAGCGACAATCGGTCGAAAGCGACCACTCGGTCTTTTCGAAAAGGCGACGGTTCGCACGAAGCAATAATCCGTACCAGCCGAAAATATGTAGTTTTGAAAAACAATAGTTGATGAAACACCAGCTTCCAAGATACTTGATACACTTGATCTTAAAATGGGGTATAAAAAAGTACTACTGGATTACGCACAAAATAGCAAAATTCTTGAATTGATTAAACATTGAGATAACGTTAATTAACAACAAGATTCAGTAGTTCTTACCAGCAGTTCTTATATTAGCTCATAGTCACAATATGAGGACTTATGATGTTAGAATCAAAAAACTAAATTAAATTTTTCACACATGCGTGCTCTGAATTTGTAATTTTTGTTCCGACTTTCGATACGAAAGTAACGGAATATTCGTGCTCGGGGTGGGTTTTTTTTTCTTCAGAAAAATTTTGACTTTTTAACTAGCCATTTTTGACGGAATTTATTATATCATTCGAAAGGTATTGTTGTCCTGAGCTCAAATTTGAAAAGATATTTGACCTGTGATCATTTTTCGTAAAGTTACGGTGGTTTAAAGATTGCCATTTTAGCCAATTTGGGACAATTAACGCGCGATATATTTCGCGCTATTAACGCGTAAGCGGTGAGTTAATCCGTCTTAGAAATCGTTCCAAATAGGTTAAAAGAAGCTTATTTGCCATAATTGGTTTGTTATAAGGAGCAAAATTTATCCTTTTGTACTTTATATGGCGTGTGGGGAGATGATTTTCAAAAAAAATTTCAAATTTTAGATTTTTTTTTCATTTTGTCTTATTTCATTGAATTTTTTAATGTTATTACTGCTCCATAAACCTTAAAAGGCAGTTGGAACATTCAGGGCTTCGCCCTGATACGAGCAGTCTTGTATCATTTTACAACTAACGCAAATTGTTTGAAAAGCACAGCAAAAAGAAGTGGGTGACCTCTAGAAAAATGAAAGGTAGTGGATTTGAGAAAACTGTTTTTTTTTTCAAGTCGGGGGCTTCTTTGGGGGTTAAAAAACTTCCCGTTAAATTCTTCTTTTTTGAATACGCAGGGGAATCTGCCCAATAATAACTAAAAGAACAGCTCATAGGCAAAAAACTATCGGATCAGCCCTCATGACACAAAAGGAAATAGCGATGCCACATGAATTGCCTCTCGCCCTGAGGGATGGCACGCAGATGGACTTTTTAAGCATGCCCATCACTATTTTAACAAATTTTCACCCTTCAAGCGGCAGTGAGTGAACAAATAGTACCTTTGGTCTGCTATTTGTTGCAAACAAGAGTAAGGAGCAAAACTTTTGCACATTTACAGAGCTGATTTAAGTAAACCCAAGTTTGAACCTATTACAGATAAAACTTCATCTGGAAAAAAAAACCTGAAAATGTTTATCTTTGTACTGTATTAATCAAAGAATGCGTTTTTCATTCAACTTAGGCAAATTGGCCTGAAAATCAAGAAGAAGGCTTGAGCACTCAAAGAACATATGAAAAACGCAACTGTTGCTAAAATTTTTTGAAGCGCTTGACTTTGAATTAGATCTCAATTGACTATGCGCTTCAATTCGCAAGGAGTCGGAAAGTTTCCCATGTATGGAAAATTTTGATTATTTTGAGTGAACTTGGTTGTCACAATCATCCGTGGCCGTCGAAGTGCTGGTCAAGTTCCACATTATCTGAGTAACCAATTAGAAAACACAAACAAGACTGCTCGTATCAGGGCGAAGCCCTGAATGTTCCGACTGCCTTTTAAGGTTTATGGAGCAGTAATAACATTTAAAAATTCAATGAAATAACAAAATGAAAAAAAAAATTAAAATTTGAAATTTTTTTAAATGAAAATCATCCCCCCACACGCCATATAAAGTACAAAAGGATAGATTTCGCTCCTTGTAACAAATCAATTATGGCAACTAAGCTTCTTTTAACCAATTTGGAACGATTTCTAAGACGGATTAACTCTCTGCTTACGTGTTAATAGCGCGAAATATACCGCGTGTTAATTGTCCCGAATTGGCCAAAATGGCAACTTTTAAACCCCCGTAACTCTACGAAAAATGATCACAGGTGAAATATCTTTTCAAATTTGAGCTCAGGACAACAATACCTTTCGAATGATATAAAAAGATTCCGTCAAAAATGGTTAGTTAAAAAGTCGAAATTTGTCTGAAGAAAAAAAAAAACCCACCCCGAGCACAAATATTCCGTTACTTTCGTATCAAAAGTCGGAACAAAAATGGCCGACAGTGGCTACTAAGTCAGTAGAAGGCTGAGATAGAGCCTTCCAAATGGGAATGGTTTGCGCTAATCTGACTATCCATTACTTTATTCAGTTCATGCGAAATGAGCAGAGCGTAACCGAGAACAAAAAATTGCTCGAATTGAAGGAAGCGAATGTGTTAGTAAAAACCCCAGTCAGGAAAATTTTGATTTCGATAGAATGGATTTCTTAAATTTTATCGAAAAAAAACATTTGAAAGCAATTTCAGGGATTAACTTCTGACATTTTTTCTAGACTGTGTGATATATATTTCTTAGTTGTTTAATTGTTAGAATTGTAACACAGAGAGAAAGATGCGCTTCACAAACACTAGCGCAAACTCGGCCAAAAAACAGCGTTCTGACAGCGTTCTAATCAGCTTTGAAATACTTAAAATTTGCTACGCATTGGCTTCGAACATGCGATCTCGAGAATTGTCCACGAACGTTTGGCAGTCGGCAAACACTAGTCACAAAAAAGCAGCTACATATACTGATGAATTGCCAAAGCAATTAGTTTGGACTACAACAAATTGAAGGCATCCACACTAACTTTGCATGCAGTAAACGAAAAGCCATAAAACCACTTCTGAAATCAAAAAATTCTGAAATCGAATGTTAATGGTTGTTATGTTGTTTGAAACAAACATGGTTGTTATGCTGTTTGAAACTAACATGGTTGTTATGTTGTTTGAAACAAACATGGTTGTTATGCTGTTTGAAACAAATAGCTTCTTTCGATTCAATTGATTAATTAAAAATGCATCAACTATGTTAACTTTTTACCTTTCGAAAGTCAAGTTTTGCCTTTATCAAATTTCGAATGTCAAATTTTGCCTTTTCGAATGTCAAATCACGAATTTTGCATTAATAGCATTTAAAATTATAATAAACCTTGAAAATTTGTAATGTGCAGTTGTTTCGAAAAAAGCTAACGGCTTCAATAATGCTTATAGATACGACTCCAGTTTCCCAGACAAAGTGCCAATTGAGACTGTGAAGGGGGACGGAGACGGGACAGTGAACTACCAGTCTGCAGTCGGCTGTGGCAACTTCAAACGGAACCCTGGACAGACGAAGCCGGTGATGGAGAAGAGTTTCCAGGGAGTGGACCACGATGGACTCCTGCAGAGCAGTGATGTCATCGATTACGTCGATAAAATCGTGTACACGACATTATGAGGAATGAATTAGGCAAAAAACTGAAGCCGAAATTTGAACAGTGTGCCGTTTCCTTTCCATAAAATTCACAAATGGATCTGGAGTGGTTTGAATGGACGAACTTAGTAATGACAGCAAAACGCCAAAAAGCACATTGGCACATTGATTTTATTTCAACAGAGGAGAAACAGATTATATTATTTGATCTCACTTTCATATTGCTTAATTAGAACAAAAAAATGCTCATAAGTGTGTCAAAGGAACTTAACGTAGTGGTAAGTCGTTTGCTGTTATTCTGTCAGGCAGCTACAGCACGCTGACTAAGCAGGACGTTTTTAGACTGAATAGCTTTTTTGGTAAATTAGAGACAATCATTTTTGGTTATACATGATTAAATGGAACATCTTGAACAAGTTTTCCGTTCAAACATTTTGACATATTATGCATCAAAATAAAAATCAAGCAGTCCTGAATCGAATGAGAAGATTTTTGCAAGGACAGTTGCGATGATATTTCTTTGGGATACCTGAACTGACACTGTCTAGTTTTAAAAAACCTTTACAATTTTTTCCCAAAAAAAATGTCATCGTAAGGCTTTTTGAATTAATAAGTTTGATAAAGTTAACCCAACTGGATTATAAGTTGGTTTTTGAATTAGCATGAAAATATGAAAACATATAGCCCAAATTATTCTTGAAAACTCAAGCTACAATTTTGCACTATTTGCACATATATTGAAAACTATTTGCACATATATGAATATGATAACATATAAACTGTTCAAAAGGCAAAATAAATACGAGCTTAAAAGATTTCAATTAAATACATAGCCAATAAACATTTGGGAACTAGTCAATGAACGCATGATCACAAACCAAATCTGAATTTTTTTTAAAAAACGTCAAATTTCAAATATCATCGTAATATATTGCTTTAAAGCTTTTTGATTTTCTAAAACAATTTAGATTTTTTGATAATTATAACTCAATTTGAGAAAATTCAAATCAATTGGTACGGTTTTGTTCCATTGGAAATCAGAAAATTAAAATCCACTGTCCAAATAAGAAGTTAATCACGCTTTTAGAGACTTTTCCTTTTTCGTTGTTAAAAGTAGACTTTGCCTTCCTTGCAACAGCAAAAACTAACGGGTTTTAAGGAAAGTCACACGTCAAACCGCAAAAAAAATTTGAGAAAAAAACAAAATTTAAGACTTCTGCAAAAAAACGGAAAAATTATTACGACCTATACAAAATTTCAATATTTTGATCGAATCACAATTTTTTCGCTCAAAAAAGCCAGCTTAAATTATATGCAGTAACCACCATGTTCTGCTTCAATGGCGTATAAATTTTATCAATTAAACGAAAGCTATTTTTATCGTACTAGTACAGGCAAAATGCATAACAATGCACTTGCAAAGTTTCATAATGTTCTCAAAATGCCGCTGAAGTTTACACTTAGATACGGACACAACTAAAATTTGTTCAAAAAACTCTCGGAAATGAGTATTTAATATAGCTGAACCAATAGATTGCGATTAATTTTGTCGCTCTTCTCTCTCAAAAATATTAAGAGACTTTTTCAGTTCAGCTTTTCTTGGAAATTTTGTATTGCACTCGAACCACGATTGAAACAACTCCAAAACCATATCTTAAGCGACACCTTTTATTTTTTTTACTTCATAGTCAACAAAATACTAAAACATAGCCAAATGACAGGTCGGAACATTCGGTGATACTGCCACAGCAACCGAATGTCCTTGTTGTGACAAGCATCCGCAACTTCAAACTGACCCCTCTTCACTATTTGTGAACTCGTCCTCCATTCCCCAACTAAAGGACAGCTGATAACTCAAAACAGAATGTTTTCAGAAATATCAGTGTCAAAATGCACTAATTTTTAGCGAAACTTAAAATTTTGGCGATAATTAATCGGTTGAACCTTTGGAATGAAAAAAGAAAAAATTGCATTTCTGGTGAAGTTGTTCCATCTTGGAGAAAATAAACGCTAGCAAGAATTTAATTCATAAAAGGTGAGATGTTTAAACGGTCTGTACAAACATACAAAATTTACAGCATTATCTGATGAATTAGGACATAATTTGAATGTGATAAAACTTGATTAGAGAAAATATTCATTGTTAGTGAAAGCTCTAAAACTTCACACATGTAAGATAAAATTAACAATTCGCAATTTATTCCGACAGCAGATTATTTTCTTTATTTCATTTAAAAGGAGTTTCTGAGAATAAACCAACAATAAAATTTCATTTGTTTTCCAATTGAAACAAAATCTAAAAAGCTAATTAGCTCCTGGAAAGACTTTAATTAAATCTACCTGAGAATGAAGTTCAGATTTCCCACCATATATTTTGAACTTTTCGAGCGTAACATACTATCAAAATCGAGATTTTCTATTTCAAACATCTGATCTCTTCATCTAGCGGCTCTTCTTTGTCGCCCCCCCCCCCCCTCCTCCTCCAATTGGGAATTATCACTAGTTTAACTTTTTCACCGACTCTGTGCTTTAAAAATCAGCATGTGGTTAATTACGCTAATTGATACCGGACCTTCTGAAACCACTCGTTACACGATTAAAAAAAGTGGAAAAGCTAATCTTGCAAATTACACGTACGATGGTGGGAAATCGAAGCGACATTTTGACTATTGAGATGAAAAGAAGACTTGGTAGAAGGCAAGAAGGAAGACATGAACTAACTTGGTATCTAATTAATCTGAACCATAGCTGATTCGATTCAGATTTCATGTAGCAAAACAAAGATTCCGATCGACAAATTTTTAGGAAAAGCTATTGAAACACGAAGCCAAATATCGCTATCCAAACAAATTGTTTTAGGCACAACTCATGTCAAAAGATTCGCTGGATTGTAAAAGCGGCGCGTAAAAATAAGATACCATGGGTTCAATAGCTCTTTTCCATTAAGCTTTGTCAGTTTCCATTTGACAAATTTCTAATCTAAGATCAAATGAGTTCATTTCCATTCAAGTGAGTATAGACCGAATCGGCCATATTCTGAGAGAGTCGCTTCAACTGTCTGGCAGCGACGTCTGCACTCTGGATACTCTGGAGCAACTTGGATGATCCTGCTCCGTTCCCCTTATACGTACGAGCACTTCCCAATCTATTTCCATTTGAGTCATACTTCCTACTACTATGACGTCTCTGTAAACTATCCGCACTTCTCGTCATTACCTGCTCGTCGCCATTAACTAGAACAGCTCCTGATGAGTCTGCAGTTTTGTAGTAGAACCGCATTGGATTGTTCACGTGGTCCACTGCATGGATCACGTGATGCGGCTGCAAAACAGTGGCTGCAGCCGGTGGGGCTGCAATGTTTGCAGTTAAACCAGCTGGTTGCGCATACATCCACAGTCCAGTGGCTGCCGGTGATACTTGAGGCTGGACCAATGTTGCAGTTGGCTGCGCCACAAGATGGGGTACTGCAGTAGCTGATTGTTGAATGAGAGGCATTCCTATAATTGGGACATAGGCTGCTGCGGTGTGTTGATGTATTTGGTTAGTGCTGTACATGGTTGGTACATGAACAGTTGGTAGCACAGCAGTAGTAGTAGTTGTCGTTGGTTGGTGAGGGTAGTACAGATTACTCCCACTGACTGAAATAGGTTAACAGGGGTCAGATACAACTGGGTTAGATGAAAGTGAAATAGCAGAAACACCAACTAATTAAACTAGAGACACAAAATGAATAAAATCAGTGAATGTCCTCAAAAAACTTCTCCCATAATCTGATTTTATCAATTAAATAAAAAACAGCCGGCCCACCCCCTCCCCCCACCTTTGAAAGTTTTTCCATTTTTATAGTTGTTTTACGAGTTATTATGACTCAACGCGTGATGTTAAGATGAAAGCTATGGAGAAAAAAATTTGTTCGCCATTGTAAGTTTGTTCACCATGCCAAGTTTTATATCGTTATGACCACTTCTAAGTAGTTTTTCAAAATTGAAAGGTGGGGGAGTGTAAAAGAGCCAAATAGCCATTAAAAAATGTAAGTGTTTGTTAGAGATCCTCGGGAATACCTATACATTATTCTAGTTTTTAGTTTTTGAATAGTCAATGCAAAGCCCCTTCAACGTGTTTACTTTTAAACACTTTTTGATTAAATTACACCAATTTGAGCGAACATGCTTCACTTTCAATGGTCGAAATTTCGCCCCTCTTAAATTTAAGGGCACATTTAGCCCCTCAGAGATTTATTCGGCCCTAATATTTTACACGAAATGCCCGTAATAAATGTCGAGCGAAATGTGCCGCTACATGTAAGAGGGACAAAATATGTGAGGGGTGAACCGTGTCACATTCATTTTCGATTGCACTAAATTTTTTGAAATTCAATGTGAATAGGCAATTTTAGCACCATTTCTATTTATTTTATCGTGGAGCAAAAAAAACAGCTCCTGGCAGAAAATTTTTCTGAACGCTAAGCTTCAGAGCAAAGCCGGCTAAAAACGCGTGAAAAATAAGAAGTCCTCTGAAAAAAACCATTCGAATTTAACTTCGAGTGGTAAGGCGCTGACTTCGAGAGCATGTGAACACAAGCTGTCACTTAACCTCTAGCTTCAAGTCTAGGCCAATATATGCTGCGATAGAGCACGGGAAAGTTCTAGCAAAAAAATAGCTTCACCCAACGGAGTAACTCAGCCTGGAATGTTGGGAACCAAGAGAAACTGACTAGCGACTGACTATTCTTACTATTCTTATCTACTGACTATTCTAAGACCAAATTTTAGCGAATAGCAGAAATCACGATTAATTAATAAATTCGCTTCTTTCAATAACACGATGTGATCAATATAATAAATGGCTCCCAGAAGCATCAAATCAATTTTTAGTTAAATTGACTCGGAGAATCATTCATCATCATCCCATTCAGAGAAGCAAACATTAAGCTATGAGCTTTAAAATGGCATACACGCCTAGGGAGACACGTTTGAACTCAATTCCGTGTCAAGGAGAAAAATTCATCAGAAAACAATTCAATTAAAGATCGATTACGCAAGTGTGAACATTATCTTCCTCCATCCGTGAAAAATAGATTTTGTTGGTCTTCTTTAAAATTCAATACTGGTCATTGATGTTTTTATTTAATGACTCAGAAGCACAAAAAATACTATTTAATGGGTGACAAGGAAAGATATTTTACGTAAGCAAACAGCAACTTGATGCAGGAAAAAAATGGAATTAGTTCAAAACATGCCGATCTAAATATCGTAGAATGCATGATTGTGACGCTTTGTCTCTCAGAGCGACTTGCATCGGAAAAATTTTGTTACTTTCATGTGCGAATATTGATATTTTAAATTTAAACCACAAATATTGAAGCTAGCAAGTACTTCTCACAGTTGATCAAATGAGGTATCTGTTTACAGTCACACATACAGATAAATGGTTCAGCTCGTTACAAATTAAAAGTATCAGCAGAACAAAGCCGTCAATCAACAGAACACGGCATGCACAGCAAAACTCCATCCGACAAATGCTGAATTATACCATAAAAAATATTGACGGTAAAAAAAATCTGTTCACGCAAGTCGATATTCATCAAGATGAAGGCGCATATTTAGAATTATTTGCACCTCTTGCGATACGTCATTAACATAGCATGGAATTCTAACCGACAGAAATGAGACGAAAGGTACTAAGAATATCTGAAAACCTACATCAACCAAAGTTTTTATAGAGTTGTCTCAAATAAAGTTCTTTTTAGGAAAACATACCAGGCTAATTATCCTCGTTAAATTAGTAAACCGATAGAAAGCCACAAAAATTGAGCAAGCAACGCCAGTTGAACAAAAAAAAACATGTTATAAAAAATGTAAGCAGTAAAAAATTTGTAACTCGGCGTTCCCAAGTACTTACAGGTGTGTATAATTACCCATTTTCGCCTCGAAAGATTAAATATGAGGTGAATATTACATAGGCGGCTCAAACAAAAACTTATGAACGAATTGAGTGAGAAAACATGCGACAGGGATTCGAACTATCCACCTACAGCGGAAAATTCTCAGAACATTAACAACAGAAAAATGAAAAAGAACCAATGAGCGCAAGTAAACAGAAGAAATACTGACTTGTTTCTTTTTTGAAAAACCAAACTTTGCAAATCGAAGAAAAAACAATTGATGGCCTTAAAGCTCTTTGGAATTCTAGGACAATTTATGACTGACACTTTTTCGATGAAATTAACCCAATTTTGTTTCGCTGGGAAATTTGAAAATTAAATTCCAAATTCCTGAACAATTTCTAAGACTTTTCCTGAAAAAAACCCACCGCTACCTATATAAGATTCTGAACTACGTTCATCGAATCTTAATATTACCTTTACGCCAACTGCACGCCTCAACATGCCATAATTTGGATTTAACAGTAAAGCAAGTCGAAACACCTAACCTTCTCGCGAGCAAATTCTGTGAACCAAGTTTCCACTGAAAAAAGTCTGCTACCCAGTTGCAATGCTCTTGCTATTTGCAAAATTAATTAGTGAATACTGGAAAAAACTTAAAAGCATGTTCGACCATAAAAGTAAGAACAAAAAAATCAAAAAACAACAAAGCTAAATTAAATTTTTTAATGATACTTTACCGCTTCAAGTTGATATTTAAACACAAAAAAGGTGAAATCGGAGCTTCCAATCACTTGCGATACCACCCAAACATAGCATTGCAAGCTACGGACTAGAAATAAAAAATTTAAAAAACTTACTTTTTTAAAAGTTATTCTGAAATGATGTTCTATTTGTGCAAAACACAAACACCGTCCGAAAACACAAACACCGGCGTTAAATAGCTTTCAGATACATTCACTGAGCGACAACTAAACCAACAAATTTTGAATCAACTCCCGCTGAGCCAAAAGCACCTTCAAATGACACAAGATTTTGTCACTAAGTAAAAAAACAAGCCGAAGTAATTGCGGAAAATAAAGATTTTAACCAATAAAAACAAAAACGCTAACGGAAAAAGGATTCAATAAATTAATATTTTCCAGGAATAAATCAAAAACACTTTCAATTTCAATGAAAATTGCCTTTAGGACGATTAAGTCCGTGATGTGGCATCAAGCTGACAAAACACAAGGAGACAAAAATTTTATGAAACGGAATAATTAGTTTAGAAAAAATAGCCAGGACCAGATTCAAACCTACGACCTTTGCCGTGCCAGAAGCAGTCGTTACCTCTTGACCAAATGCACCGTAGAAGCTTAACAAAATTGAATTCATTAGAAACCGAGCTATCACATTATTCAACTATAAGACTAAAAAAGATACTCATCAAGATAAAGGCGAATATTTCACCAATTGCGATACTTCATTAACATAGCAAGGGAAGCTAACCGACAAAAATGAGACGAAAACCACACTGAAGATAAAATGCTGCTGTTCTATTCTTTGCTTAATTTCCAAGAAAAGTATACGTAGAAGTCATATTTTCTCCAGATAATTCGCTCGTGCAAAACATCAAGTGCAGCTGCAGTCACAATTACAACCAAAGAAAGCTAGACTAAAAAATATCCAAATTTTAAAATCAATGTGAAATAGATACAGTCAACAAACGTGATTAATGCATAAAATAAATTGACAGAAAAACAGAGTCGACTTCAAAAGCAATCAAACCAAAGGAGCAATTTTGAAAATCCAGCTTTAAGAGATTTATTCACACTTTGAGGAAATCCTAAAAATCCATGAAAATTACCAAAAATTACTCTTGGACATTTGGCTCTACATATATCATTCCCTAAATGTCATATTCAGCAAATGAACACTGATCACATTGATAATTTAACTTACCTTCCGTAGTGTTAGTTTGGACACCAATCGGTGCAAAACGTGTCTGCTGCTGATGGTGATGATGAAACCGCTCCGCTCTCGGATCGTCAGTTTCCCCGGCAACATTTCTCACTCGACTCGACGCCGTTCTGCGGGGTTTATGTCTGTGTATGATATCATAGGCAGAGTCAAGATCACTGCTCATAGCGCCAGTGCCTCTGGAGTTTGTATGCACAGGGTTGCGCAAACTACCAGTTCTCTTGTTCCGACTGCTATTTCGTCTTGATTCTAACACTGTTACATTTCCAATTTCCTCCGAATCCGAACTGGCAATCTCAGTAGGTGAGGCAGCCACATTTTCTGTCTGAAGTTTTTTAGACCTCATTGGCCTTGATGGCAAAGCTTCAAAATTTGTATTGGTAGCAGTTGACGTTTTTCCTTTGGGTATCTGGAAAGAAAGTCTCCTACTGCATAAATGATCGCTGCTACTGTTGACAGGTACCTCTTTAGAGCCAGATTCACGCTGTCTGTTTCGTGTAATCTTGTTATACGTGTTTACATTTTCCAAGTCGCTATCTTCTCTTCTAGGACGGTTCGGCTCCTCGTCATTGCCCAGATGCCAGGATCCAGGTCTTGGAGGCATGTCTCTTCTGTCAAACTCTATTTCATTCCTCGGAGTCGAGGATACTATACTCGGGCGTTTTGTTCGATTTTTAGCCTCTTCAATGTCCGCTCGAATCTCCAAAATTTCTCGCTCAATTTCATCTATTTTAGACTGATTATGCATCGAAGTTTCAAGCGCAGTTTCACTTTTCGAGAACTTACTGGAGTTCGCCACAGCGCTCTGCTTTTCAGTCGGCTCTACCAAACCTCTTCTGCTAAACGGTAACTGTTTTCTCGCACTTGTTCGTCTATTCAAAGCGGGGTTTGCACCCGGCTTAGAGAATGACTTAGTCGCTCTCAAAGGCATATTATCTTCTGTAGAAGAGCTTACGTAAGATTTGAAGGCACTTGATCGCGGGGAAGCAAACTTGGCAACTGTCGCAGACTTCGGTGTCTGGTATGCAGCGTTACTTCCTCTAGGAGCATCGGAGTCCCCAATTGCAGCGTCTGCCCGATGTTCAGACGAGGTCTGTGAGTTTTTGTTCGAGGCTGCAACTCGTGCTTGAATACCCGCAGAAGCCATTACAGGCTTGGGTGTACTACTTGATTTTGGTTTATTTGAACTGCTGGTTTTGAGGGGTCTGAGCTTGATACTTCCAATGCTTGAGTCGGGACTCTCCAGGCCCAACGACTCCATATCTTCAGCATCATTTTGGCCTATTTCTGAGCCTGATTCGCTTTTAATTTTAATATCGGCTTCCTTTCTGGATATCCCTAAGCCCGCTGGCTCGGACATCTTTCTATCCATAACTGCTGGGTTTTTGAATCGACGCAAACTGCCTGTTGCAGTTGCCGGTGTCTGGCCTCGCGATGACGAGTAACTCGTTTCACTCGTCACATTACCAAAATGGGATGGACCCGATCCCACGAAACCACTGTCGTTATCTTCATTCGCCGCAAGTAGAGCCCCGAGTCTGTCTTTACGCTTCAGGGAAGCATTCGAATCACCCAGACCACCATCCACGCTGTAGGTTTTCTGAATTGGTCTGTCGCTGAAGTGGGTTCTCCCCTTCAGAAACCTTTGCTCCATAATAACATGAGGTTGCCTGCCTATAGAAACGCCATTAGCTCCTGGTCTCATCTGGGCTTGCGGTCCCGTAGCAGAAGAATTTTGATGGTAGAAATTCGAGTCCAACTTCGGTATGCTTGACCTACGCCTCGGTATGCCACTGTCTCTTTGCTGAACGTTTCCCTGATTTCGATCTAGAGACCCCATATTATTTGAACTCGGCTCATTTGCAGAGTTTTTTCTTCTCCAATGTTCATTCAGAGTGTCTATATTAGGAGTCATTCGAGCCGATGACATTTTCATGTCCACGCTTTCGCCCACCATTGAGGAATCGTGAGTTGAAATTGGTTTAAATACAGACGCCATGTTCTCCATATTGTCATAGTAAATGTTTTCATTCGTATCATAATCTCCCATTCCATCTTGATTTGGCCAATCAGGAACTTGATTTAAACTTTGAGGCCCATTTTCTACGTTTTCTCTCGCTATGATATCCTCGCTTTCAAACGGAAGGTGATTCAACCTGGGCTGTGATTGGCTCACGCCTGGGTCACCTTGAAGCCTCCTGACGCCGGCTAGATTCATGTTAGCCGATGACGCCACTTTAGCCCATTGATCCCTTCCCAGCCCTCCATTAAGTTGAAAGCCAAAAGGAACTCCCTGATTCATTTCAGAAGCTACCACCAAATTTGGCTGACTGTGTCTCCATTTTTCCAGTTCGTACATCATCTTCAGCTGCTCTACTTCTTGAGCCAGTCTAGTCACTTCATGTGCCTGCTGTGGACCTTGACCCCCACCTCCTTGTCCTGTACCACTCTCTGTTCCCCCTTCATGCGGTTGCATTTGGTTCTGGTTCAGATTCGATCGACTCTTCGCTAACTCGGCTGCTTCTTCCATCGCTTGCTGTTCCATCCGCGCCATCTGCGCTTCTTTCTGCGCTTCTATCTCCTCAAAAAGATGTTCTGCATCACCGGTTAGAAAGTCTATCTGGAAGAGCTCCCGGTCCAACATCTCTTTAACACCTCCGCACAAAGCATCGCCTATCTCGGCACTTACAGCCTCATAATCGCTTTTCAACTGATTCGCATCTCGTTTGATGTTCTGGAGGAACTTCTTATGTTCACTTGCATGCATGTTCCCATCTCTTATCATATCACAGAAGTTTTTCAAGGAGCTGTTGATTCTCTGTGCTTCTCCTACCAGTTCGTTCAGCCTAGGGTTATTCTCTGCATCCTCGCGTGGCCTGTTATCATTTGGGTTTATAACTCCTGCTCTATTTGGTTTTGGCATCTCAAATCGGTTTGGTTGCCTCGCTGGATTTACACGCACTCCCTGTCCAGGTAGAGCATCAGGGTGCTCGACGTCCAACCCAACATGTGCTTTCACTCTCAATTGGTCCAGAATGTCTTTTGTGTTCGCCAGTTCCAGATTGAGACTATTTACTTGCTGTTGGTAGGCATTGTTCTCTTGAATCAGTTTTGTGCTGTGAAACTTTTCTTTTCTTAGCTTGTCGAACAGCTGATTCTTGGAAGCATCTTCGCTTACTGACAAATCTCCTGCAAAACATCAAATAAAATCACATTAACTTTAAATATTTCAATTTTTACCATCTAGACTAATGTTCACATATTCGTAATGCAATGAAACAAAGATCAAGCATAGATGTAATGTTCGGTCAGTCTAGAAACTTATGGGATATCATTTATAACTTTTTACTCGCAGCTTCAAATTGGAAGATCTTCTCTATATTTCCTTAAGGGGAAGATGAGGATTTGAACTAGTCACTAATTAACCACGTGTTTACCTTCGGAGTCGGAAGCCCTCCTCATCCAGTTAGGCGACAAAGACTTTCCCGAGGTTGTCGCGCGGGGTCCCGCAGCTTCTGCCTTCCTGCCACCAGCCGTCGCTTTAGTAAAGCCCCCTTGCTTAGTTCCACTTCTGCCTTGGGAGGGTCCCTTCGGAATGGAACTTCTATCGGTTGTCGTATTTGCTTGTTGATGTGTACTAGTATCGCTCTCGTACAAAACAGGCATTGCACCACCTTGGGTGTCCGAACTCATGACAGAATCATGGCGAAGAAAAGAGTCCATCATCTCTGCATTGAACGACGGCTGCCTTAAGTTTCGAGACATTAAACTGATGCCGTCGCCTGCTTCGGAGTCCAAGGTATCGCTACGTCCTCTGAATAGCATACTAGGTCCTCTGTAGTTCCGGTGTTTGTTTCCATTATCACGCTGCTCTCTACTCGGAAACGGCTGAGAGAAGTCGGTCGAAACTAACTGACTTGTATTCTCGTCAAAATTCTCAGTAGCCGACTGGTCATTATCTAGATCCTCATCTTCGTACATTTGATCAGACTGTCTCAAATTTCTCTGAGTATTATTGTAACTGATATTCGACATTTGATGACCATTTTGCATGATGTTCTGTTGCTGTTGCACACCACTCGTGTTATTGTATGGTTGGAATGTGAACTGCAGAGCATTGTGGGGTTCGTTGTTCAAATCCTCCTCTACAAATAAAGACAAGATAACTTACAAATTCGAGACTTCACTTTGACTAATATGACCATTTCGTAATAGGAATATAGCGCTGTCGAGCTTCTAATTAATATCTAAATACGGTCATTTCAAAGTCCAACGGACAAAGGGTAGTTTATAATGTTATCATGTAACTTAAATTTCCCAAAGATTACAGAAAAGCATAATAATGGTCACCCTTTTATCGAACTCCAAACCTTATTGCACTTCGTCTACAGAAAAGGCAAAAAATGATGCAATGATTAGGGAATAATTCGGCATCAAGGGATGTCTTTGTCTTTTTTTTTGTGATATGACTTAAGAAACAAAAACATTATTTTGCTCCTTCTTAATCAGCATAAATCCGAAAGGCAGTAAAAACATAGCCAACAGACATTGGGAAAAGAGTCAATGAACGCAATTAAACAGAAAAAAAAAGTAAGTGATTTTTGAACATAGCCAATTAACAGTTGGAAAAGAGTAAAGAACGCAAGGAAATTGAAAAAAAAACTAACTTGTTTTTTCGAGAGCCTTCAACTTTTGAATTTTGAAGAAAAAAATAGATGGCCTTAAAGCTCTTTGAATTTGTAGAACAATTTATGATGGGCACTTTTCAGTTAATTTGACTCAATTTGAGAAAACTGGATCACTGTGTAAATAATTCATTTCGCTGGGAAATCTGATAATTAAATTCCACTTCCGAAATCAGCAGTCGATCACGTTTTTCGTGGCCTTTACCATTTTGCTGTTCGATAGTGGAGTTTGCCTTCCTTTTAACAACAGCAATGCACAGAACTTAAAAAAAAATCAGAAGTCAAACCGCGAAAAATTAAAATTGAGCGTAAACATTTTCCTGAAAAAAAAATTAGCAAGACAATAAGTGTCTTCAGTAGGTTCATTACTCTTAAAAAAATTCATATTCGAATTTCAAATGAAAAATATATGGCCTTAACCCTCTTTGAATTTCAAGACAAATTTACGGTTGACACTTTTTGATAAAATTAAAATTTGAAAAAAAAACTGGATCAACACGCTCAGACATCTTGAAATTAAACTCCACTTTCGAGACTAGTTCCACTAAGTAGTTCGCATTTTTTCGCGCCATTTCCACGTTCGTATTTGGAGAGTGCAATTTATCTAACTTTCGGCAGATGAAATTAAATTGAACTCAACAAGAATCTTGTTAAACGACTCCTAGTTCCACTAAGTAGTTCGCATTTTTTCGCGCCATTTCCACGTTCGTATTTGGAGAGTGCAATTTATCTAACTTTCGCAGATGAAATTAAATTGAACTCAACAAGAATCTCGTTAAACGACTCTTTAACATAGCCAACAGACTATTGGAAATGAGTCCAGAAAAGCAAGGAAACAAATAAAAACTGACTTGCTTTTAGAAAAAAATTCAACCTTCGAATTTCAAAGTAAAAAACATATGACCTTTAGATTAAAACTTTCTGAATTTTAAACACTATTTATGATTGACACTTTTTTGATGAAAAATTTAACAAACCTGGATCAATAAGTTAAGTTTTTATTCTTCTGGGTAATCCGATTGAAATCCATTTTCGAAATTAGAAATCAATCACTTGTTTCGTAGCCTTAACTTTTGCTGCTAGATAAAGGAATATGGCTTCCTTCTAAGAAAGGAAATCAACTGAAAAGATACCAAGATTCAGTCCACAAAAAATCAAATTTGAGCGTGAAATTTTTTCAATACTTTTCATCAAACAAAAAAAGAATAATCATCACGACCTATATGAGTCCTCACTATGTTCATCGACTCGTAATCAAAACGTGCAAAAAGAAACACGGGAGAAACTGAGCTTCGCATAATTTGAGATACAGATATATGCTGCTGTTACAAAAAAAAACATTTTATAAAAACTGCAGTAGAAAAGGATTTCATAGAAACTAGCGTGTAACGCACCTCCGGTTCTTCGAATTTTTAACAACTCAATAAAAACCCGCATATATTGGAAAATAGATCTGCATCCTTTGAGTGTACTCTGACAGCACCCAATTACAGGATTCGTAATTACAAATTTTGCAAAGTTTTACAGGGTTCGTAATTACAAATTTTGCCACGTTGGAAAATTTCAAACTTAAATTTTCTAAAAAAAGATATATTTTTAAGAAACCAGATAAAACGTCTTATCTCAAAAACTACCAAGATATAAGCAGTCTTACTTGATGGCAATTTTCGCAATTCTTGACAGTACTCTAACAGCATACAACTACAGGGTTAGGAATTTCCATTTTGCGATATAGTTTGTAAATTGAGTTTTCTTGAAATTTCTGAAAAAATTGCAAAAATTGTCGTATCACGTAAATTTAAAATATTTGGGCATTCCTAATTGGAGGCCAGATTCGCAACCCCTGAGATAACTCTGACAGCCCCCAAATACAGATTAGCAAATTCAAATTATGAATGTTTTAATTTAAGTTTTCGGAAATATTATCGAAAAAATCGCAAAAAGGTCGCGTCTGGAGAATCAAATACTAATATTGAAAGGCAATACTCTGGCAGTCCCCACTACAGAGTTGCAAACTTCAAATTTTTAAGAAAAAAAAACACCTAAGTTTTAAGTTATCAGAAATTTTTTTTTAAATCACAAAAAACGTCATATCTGGAAAACTACAAGGTTTTGAGCAGTCACATCCAGAAGCAAGATTTGCAACCCCTGAGAGAAGAAACACAGTTTCCAACAACAGGATTGAGATCTTCAAAGTTATGGAATTTTTCAAAATCCAAGCTTAATAAAATTTTTTGAAAGAATCATAAAAAAACGTATATCTCGAAAACTACATAGATTTGAAGTGTGATATTTGGAGTCAAGATTCGCAACCCCTGAGAGTACGCTGACAGCACCGAACTACAGAGTGAGAATTTCAAAAATTAAGAAAAATTTTAAGATTAAATTTTCTAGAAACTTATGAAAAATCTCGAAAATTGCCGTATCTCGTAAACTAAAAGGATTTGGTTATTAATATATGGAGGCCAGAATTGAAAAAGCTGGGAAAACATGACAACATCCCACTATAGGGTTGCTAAATTCAAACTTCATGAATTAAACAATGAATTCAAACTGGAAAACGAAAAAAAAAAATCTTAACCATTGCAATATACGATATAGCTTAAACATGCAAAAATAATACGTTGAAAAGGCTTAAACATACCGAGATAGTGAAGCCCGCATTTAAATATATAATAGATAGATTGAAAAAAAAAATTAAGAAACAATTTTCAAAAAAAAGACTATTTTCTAAAAGCAAAGCATAAATAAAAAAGTTTTAAAAAAGCAGTTTACCATATTGCCACAGATGTAATTTTTTGAAGAGTTTACACAACCATTATTAATTGGATGCTCGTAACAACTCATACCAAGCTGACAATGAGAAAATGGAAACTAAAATTAAGCAAACTGAACAGAAAAACTCATTCACATTTTCAATGAACAATTCCATCGCCAAAACTGCGCCTCCAAAAATTCCACCGTTTAAGTCATCTCGTTCTGCCTCAGCATTTCCATTTCGCAGACACATAGTCAACTGACACATGGGAAAGAGTGCTGAACACAAGGAAACTTTCGAAATTCAAATTGAAAATTATATGGTCTTAAAGCTCTTTGAAATTCACAATTTATGTTTGACCCTTCTTGATAAAATTAACCTAATTTGAAAAACTGGATGAAAATAGAAATTTTTTATTTCGCAGGGTAATCTGATAAGAAAACGTCAATCACAATTTTCGTGCTTTTCAATTTTTTGCTGATCGATAGCGGAGTTTGTTTTCGCTCTAACAAAGGAAATGAGCTGAACTTAAAAGGAGACCTCATTACGAGAAAAACTCTAGTACCCGGTTGCAGCAACACTAAATATTTTAGAGATTATAAAAAAATGGAGCTCTTCCTGATAAGGCACCTGCTCTCGCATGTGCTTCAATTATATATATTTTTTGAAAAATAGGTGCTAGTAGACTTGACCCTCACAAAAAATGCACATATCAAATGGCTAAGTAGGGCGACCGGCGGAAACTACGACGAAACATGTTTTGACAAAAATTACCATAATGACTTTAAGGCGAAAAATAAATATAAATCATGAGAAACAGAACAAATACTTCTACCGTGTAAAGAGTAAGATATTTGCGCCTAGTTTTCGCCAAACATAAAACGAGACAGAATGATTCAAAATTTAGGTGAAGCTGATTCATTCTGATTTCGTCGGGTCCTTTGAATATCCAGTCGTCCCATTTACCCAGCATAGCAGATACATTGTCATTTTCCTCAGGAATTTGACGCCCTTATTTCCCCCAAAAGGCTAAGCAACCATTTTTCTAGGCGTCTTTGCCTCAAATATAGATTAATAGCAAGGATAGCCGGTTACTGGGCAAGTAGCACAGAATGTTCCGACCACAGTCTTAGAAAAACAAAAACACTTTTGGTGTGATAAAAAGATCTGAACGAAAAAAAGAACTTAGGCATATTTGACAGTCATAATAAAAAGGCCATTCGGAAAACAGTTTTAAAAGAAAACTGACTAGAAAAACGAAAAAAATGACTTTTGGAATTTTCAACCTGAATTTTTTAACCTGTTTACAAAATGGCGCTTAAAACTACTTTTATTTGAGTTAACTAAGTTTTCACTTCTTCTTCTTCTTAATGTCTTCTTAATGTTGTTCGAATCACGATTGAAAGGGCTTTAGTATGATATATCACTCGACCTATTCCGATAATTATTTGTGGTAACTGATTTCGTGTGGAAAAAAAAGCTAAAACACACCCGAATACAAAGTTTCTCCCCATTTTTCAAATGACCGGAACAATGACGCGGGAGCTACTATTTTGTTGGTTGAAGCCTGACAAAAAAAAATCCTGAAAAGCACAATTAACTCTCCGGCGCAAGAAAATCCTCTATGGCAGGTACTTCTATTTAACTGGCCACTTCATAAATCAGTACAGCACCTACCAGTCTGGTTAACTAACCAAAGTAGTCCTCCGAGGCTGAGCTGATTTCGTCCAGGGTGTCTTGTCTGAACCTGGCAGACTGCGGCTGAGTCATACTCTCCTCGTCACCCATCTGATCACCTGGTGTTCCATTGTTATTGTTTTGGTCCCACTGCCGCCTTATTTTGCTGTTGTCCTGATCTAGGTTGATGTTGTCGTGTGTCGGAAACGAAAGCTCCTCGTCCTCTTCGTAAAAGTCGTCGGTTTCTGAGTGGTTTGGAATATTTCCCAAATGTCCCACTTCTATCCCCCCTTCGTACAGATTAGTCTCAGCTAAAAAAAATCGAGCTTACCAGAGACAAGCAACAGAACAAACTTTGCCACTTTAAACTTCGACAAATTTTGCCCCTATATTTCACATGCGAAGCGGAGCCTACAAAAAAACTACATCTACAAAATTTTCATACAATTGTGTCGGATGATGCTTATAAACAGTCTTTGAAAAGCATTGGGAATCATTAACCGGTCGGCAACGAAGGCAACAAAAATTGGGTCGGCACCCGTTAAGCCCATAAAGTTGTTCCGACCCATCCCTCCTGAAACACACAAAGCAATAGAAATTATTTTGCCCTCAAATACGCAATAAAAGTAGACTAGCCAATATGACAGGCAGAAACCGTTGTATCAAAAAAAGAAAGAAATAGTATACAAAATTATTCAAAATCAGAGTTGTTAAAATTACAAAACAATTTTCAATTCTAGTAATAACTGCTTCAATCAAAATAAATCCAATGCATTGAAAAATAAGCCCCTAAAAAGCATACCAGATAAAATAAATGGCATTAGGAAAACAAAAACAGAAAATCAGCTGATTGAAAAATCACTAACGAAAATGAGTTCAAAAGGTAACTTTGAATTTTCAAGAAAGTGAGCAGCATGTCACCTTGCACTCATTTCTTACAGATTTGTAGAAAAAATATTTACGGGGAAAAAATTCTAGTTCTCAATTATGAATACATTTGCTTTCGCAAGTGAAACATCGCCGTAAGTTTGCCTTGTTCAAACTGCTTCAAATAAAAAAGCAAAAATGTGCAGCAAAATTTTTACGCATGAAAAACTATTTCTTCTAAAATTTATCATCATACTAATTTCAGAAAATTCTTCAAAACGTCAGACGAGTGTCAATAACATTGAAAACAGAGATATTAAAAGACCTCTAAGTCATACAGAGCAGAGCATTGAACTTAAGCATTGAAATGAGCTTATAAGCAGAACTGCACTTGATAAAAATAAGCAAGAGCGGCGAAAAGAACCAAAAAAGCAAGAATATACGAGAAACTTGAAAGAAAACAAAGCTATATACAGAACTTTTTTTGAGTTGTTCGTTTCAATTATGCAAAATTTACCGGTGCACTTTCTCAGCAAGTGATATCATATGGAAACTTCTACTTAACCAAAAAACAGAAGCGAAAAAGAGCTACAAAATGCAAGAATATATTATATGCACACCTTGAAAGGAATTAAACGCGGCGTTTTTTCAGCAAGTGATATCGCAATTAATCTTTTACACTGAGAAATAGACTTCTACGAGGACGAACTGCCATAAATTAGAATTTGTTTTCAATTGCGATAGATAGAATAGGCAACGAAGATTAACTTTTGATTAAGATTTTAAAATCCTTATTTTCAAAGCCGTGGAGGACCTTGGGATTTATTTATTTTTTCCCATGCAAATTCTGGTATCATCGGTAAACTCAAATGGTGACGAGTGATATATAAAACGCTCCAACTTTTTTTCTCGCTGTCGAGCAAAAATTGGTCTGATTATTTTTGTTTTTCAGGCCTTATCAGTAACAAAAGTTGTTTCTCGCTTTATTGTCAGAACTAACTTCAGCAAACATATATATCAATAAGCTATTCATGAAGCTTTTGTTAGCGCCATCTCTCCATACTCTGCAAAAAACGCCATGGTCGGAAAATAATTTTCTATCTAACACAACCCAGAAAAGACACACTTTTGAGTCCAATTTTGCCATCAAAATTACACCATTTCAATTGTTTCTTGATCAACACTACTAACAGCGACTTTGGACTTAATCGTATTTTTGTCATAATTTGAATCATCACTCTTTGCAGCTCATGCAAACGAAATCTTAAAACAGAAGCTGTATACAGAAACGAAATAATTAGCTTCGAAATGATTGACCTCGCTTTGTAAAAACAATCTCTGTTTGTGTAAATAGTTTGTTGTGCCTAAATTGAACCTTCATGGTATTTTCGATCGTTCGATGAATTATTCGCACAGTTAACTACCGAATAATCGAAAGCCAAATCACTCAAGTACTCACTCGTAGGTCTCGCGCTATTTTCGATAAATTTTATGTTATTTCATTTAACCCCTGCTCACCATGTGTAATAATACAGATTTTGTAAACCGAAAACACCGAAGTCATTAGTTTAACGCCCAAAAAGTTTTGAGCAAAGAACTAGAACAAAGATTCACGCCAAATACTGAGAAAACTGCATGGCAGTTAGCCGATAGAAAACAAGAATGCATTGATGTCAAAAGACCACATCGACGAAAAAGTTTTTATACCTTTGTCTCAAGCAGAGGTTTTTAAGAACACGACAGTTGAGCCAAAAAAATGTCAAAAAATGAACTAAAAAAATTTTAGATGGTAGTTTTACAAATTGCAGGAAAAAATCACAATGAAAACCAATTATCGGTAATCTTGCTCAGGTCAAAAGAAACAATAAAGCATTTAAGCCAATGAAAAAAAGCCGACGAACTAAAAGTCCATTATTATTTTAAAACAAAGGAGTCGGTTTTGAAAATCTACGGAGGATTTTTCGTTTAACGAGTAGCTAAAAAAATTTCAGTGGTTGCTTTAAAGCAGTTCAAAACTGATGGGTGTAATTGGCGAGGGAGAAGAGGTTTGAGTGTGGAAAAAACTGTTGAGGTATGGGAATGGTAAGCAGAGATGAAAAAAACTGCGAAGTTACAAGACAGGGGTGATTTTTGACGGTTAATATATCAACTTCACTGTGCAGCAAGGGCAGTTGAATTAATGAGCTTGGGATCAGTTATAACAAGCAGGGCTTGATTTCGGGTAATCTGCGGGTGATTTATTGAGGTGTTACTGGCAGCGTGGGACTATGCAGCGGAGGCGTAGTCATATAGAGGTCTAACGAGGGCTTTGTCAGTTAAAAGTAGGCCTTTTTTATTTGATCCCAGGTTGAAGCTGCTTAGGCTTCCACGACTTTTATCATGCGCCTTGTCTAGTCAGCGGACGTTTTGCAGTGAGTGACAAAACAAAGTGTCGGCCACAAGTAACGCCTAAATATTTGGCATTTTTGTTCGACGGGAGAGTCTCATACACTAGATACTTTTCAAAGTCTTTGTTGTTAGATCCTTTGGAAGACGCGAAAACTAATTTTCGAGAAGTAAAAACGGTCGTATAGATTTTTTAGGCAGCCATCTTCGAGAGCAATTTTAGGCAGGCTTCGAGAGAAAGGATGAAAGTCGTCCGCATATGTGGTGGGGTGTACATTCTCTGGAAGCATGGGCATCATGAACGTTTACTGAGAAAGAGTGTTTTACAGTACCGAAACCTGGGAGAACTCTGCAAACAACTGTTCTATTAGAGATGACTGTTCGCGAAAGCAAGTGGTGTCTTGACGCCCATTTAAATAATTGCTGCACCAACGCACTAGGCCTCTTGGGAGTGGTTTGTAATGGAACACCTTGGGAGCGGTGTACGAGTGTCTGCAGACACACCATATCGACAGCCTTTTAAAAGTCAATTGTAGCAGGGACAGCGTCAGAGAGCCAATTCCGATTATAACCGTCTGTGACGTAAAACTCAAGGATTGACTGTGGTGTAGTGAAAAAGCCGGAAAACATGTTGATGCTTGATATTGGTAGATGTTTAGTAAAAATTGAATGGATAAGCCTCTGTAGAAACTTAATTGTTGGGCAAAACGTGATATAGGCTTGTTTGATGTTGACAGCTATAAGTCTCTACATAGGTTGGGCAAAATATTTTATTCGAAATTTTCCACATTTTAAGGATTATGTTTTCAGACAGCGAGTAATTAAAAAGAAAAATTAAACAGCGCAAGGCTTGAAGACTGAAGTGTTTGAAGTTAATATTGCATAAGCCGCGCATCAGGGCCGAGTGCTCGCGAAGGTTTGCTGTCAGCGATGGCATACTTAGTCTCTTGTAAGGAGAAAGTTGGGTTAATGGAAAGAGGCAGCTTGGCTGTTTTGGGAAGTAGATTATCAGAAGTGTGCGTCCTTGTGTTAGTGAACTGTTTAAAAGCTTCGGTTATGTATAGTTGGGAATGGAAGGACTTTGATTTAAATTGAATTGGGAACTTACCTTCCACAGGCCTGAATCCGCTTAGGGAGCGTATCACTTTCCAGAAATTACTGTCGCCAGTGCGATTTTCACACGTCTGGAAGAATTCCCTTTATTTTTTTGTCTTTTGTTGTCTGTTTTAAAACATCTATTCAAATGGAATGCTTGTTCACGGTCTATAGGGTGATTAAAATGACGGTTAAAATATCTTTCAGACGCGGTGGTGGATAAATCTTCAGAGTGAACCGGCCAGGGGGGACATGGTGGACTGTTGCCCTGAGAACTAGGTACCGGAGAAATCTCTTGTCTGCGTCGACAGTTGAAGGTTGCGCTGTTTCAGAGAGGCTTGACTCAATCTCTTCAGGAAAGCCTTTCCAGTCAGCTTTTAGAAAATAAAGGTTTGTCCTTTTAAAAACTAGCGAGTAAAAATTAGCGGTTCATTCAAGGGTAGTTCTTTAAATATGGTGAGGTGGTCTGATTCTAGGGATAAATTAGGGACCAGGATGCGGAGAGTAAAATGTATTGTGACACCAGTGAAATGTTGGGAGACGTTTTTTAGAGTTTCAGCATTAAAAGGTACTCTGGTTTGATTTTTATCATTTCTTACTGAGAGTCTGACAGCGTTGATCTTCTATGTTGGAGTACCATAAGTTTGCGTGGCGTCCCCTGTTGTCAATGCGTTGACAGGTTCAGGTAGATCAGTAAGGGATGCGAAGTAACTTGGGGATGTTAAAGTTACATGCGGATTTAGACGAACTGGTTGCAACTAAGATACAAATCCATAGATCTGTCACTAGTAACATTTAACTCTCTGTATTATAGGGATTTAAGGATTGCAAATTGTAAGCCACCATCTTCTTTGTTGCCGCAGCAATACTGTGTGGGTATGTAGATGCAAATTAGGTTAACATTGCAAATCTAGATTCAATTTTGGTTCGTTTTAGACGCTTAATCAATTTTTAAAGATCAACGCAACTCTTTCTACTTTGCCACACTCAATCGGGTGATTGTTGGTCAATCTGGTGTCCAGGTGATTTTTTTTTGCAGCGTCTCCCGAATCGCTACAACTTCAATGTAAGTTGGGCTCTTCCGTTTTTCAGTTTTACAGACCCAACTACCGTAGTCGCACCAAACAGTAATGGTTAGAATGAAAAATTTGGTGACAGATGGTACAGAGTTGAGGTCCAGGCCCGGTTTTGGTTCAATTCCTACTCTGATTAGCTGGCCTTCGGTATTCCAGCCGTTTTGTGGATAGGAGACAATTTGGCTGGGTCGTCCCGCATCCGAGTCAAATGCCCACTATCCTCGAAGCTTCACTTTGCAACCACAAGGAAGAAAACGGCAAAAGGAGCTTCACAAGGTAACACAGGCAACAAAAGGTATCGAGAAATATTTTTAAAATTGCCACCTGCAGGATTTGAACTGCAATCCTAAAGATTATGAGTCAGATGTCTTCACATTTCCGCCATGTGCGCTTGAATTAGATAAACACTAGCCTTCAAAAACGCGTATTCAGCACAGGCTATTAAATTACCTCTTTTATCCAGCAAAAATACCACTGGAAAAGTAAGATGGTTCGTAGTTTAAAAAATGGTTCGTAGTTTACACTATTGGCGCAGTAACTAAGCCGTCAAAAGTTATGCAGACTTCAGTTAAGACAAATAGGAACCAATTATGCCATCAAATGACTCATTGTGAGTCCAGTATGCCGATAAATTAGAAGCCGAAATCTTTGGCACCGAATGAAGCAATTTGGCGCCGATTGCGGTTGAAAGTAGCGCAGAATAATAATAATCATAAAAAAAAAATTCATATCAGATTCTTCAACAGACATTTGTCAATTTACATAATTCTGAAATGCAAGGACATCAAAAGGCCGGATAGGCCTAGTCAGGCGATGCCTTAATCAGGCAGTACACTTTCTAAATACTAAGAAGTACCGAGAAGTTTCTACTTTAAACTACTATCAGTTGTTAATACCCTGCAACCCCCTCTTTTAGAAAAAAAAGATCTATCATTTCTTTATTATTTGTGATGTATAAATCGCAAAAATCATGGAAAAAAGTGTTTCATTGACTATCATTAAGATTGCTGACTGTATCTCAAAATCTTCAAAAAAATTTTGAATGAAATTGAATAGTTTTCTTATCCTTGCACCTAATCTTTTTGGGCTTTTCCCAGTGAAACTTTTCGTTGGTTTGATTTTTTAACTCTTCAATGTTTCAATATCTGAATCTCCGAGTCTAAACTTGAGTTTTTTGGGAATTCAGTTTTTAAATCCTTCCGTAAAAGGTTAACTATAGTTTTGAATATCTCATATGTGCAATTCTTTCACTGAGCATATCTTGTAGGTTTCTGTAAAATTACTGACTGATTTCTCCGTTTTCTTTAAAAAATTCTCAGAATTTGGCTGTTTCAAATTATTTGTAGACATGTTTTATTTGCTGTGCCTGTACCGTACACAATAACCCCATCTTGCAGTATTGGCTGAATATGACTGAAATAGGTTTTAATTAGTTGTGCTGTCGTTAGCACATCACGTAATCGGTGGTGCAACCCACAAAAATTATTCAATTTTTTGACAAAAAGGTTAATAAAAAATTTGAAATCCAATTCGAGTCCATGCGAATGTCTAAATATTAATTATAGAGGCCCTTTTTAACATCATGAGTTCCTATTTTTATATTGTCTATTCCTTTGATTATTTTTCTATTAAAATTTGGGTGTATTGTTTTATCTAGGTTCAGAGTAAGCTTATTGATGTTCAACCAATTACCTATTTTTGATAAATCCTCATTGTATCGGTGTAAATTTTGTTCTTTTTGCTTCACTGGCCATTTTCTTTTCAAAATTATATTGAACTTTTTTCATCAAAATGCGTCATTTATGTTTTTGGTGTGATGATAGGATCTAAACGAAATCCTAGAACATTGATAGAAAAAATAGAAAAGGTACATTAGAAAAGGGACCATGAAATAATTTGAAAAAAACGGCCACAATTATAAACGTTCTATCAAATTTTTTGTGGAAAATTGTTTTGATTCGTTCTTGAATTTTTTTCCCAAGAAGGGGCCCAACAATTCGAGAACAATTTATACTAAAGTAATACTAAATGAATTTTTATTTCGTTCGAAACAAGACTGAATTGCCTTTAATATCAACCAATCGACAGATTCCGATGACTATTTGTTGTGCCTGAATTTGCGTGGAAAACAAAAAAAAATAAAGCACACCCGGAGACAAAAATCCACACCATTTTGAAGGGTCAGAACAAACATAGCCAACAGACTTCAACTTTCAAAGAAAAAAAATATGGCGAAAAAAATATGGTTTTTCGTGAACTTTTTATTTCGATGAAAGGAAATGAAATGAACTTCAAATGAACCAGAAGTCAATCCGCTAAAAATCAAATTTGAGCATGAACAAAATTTATTACTTTTTCCTGAAAAAAAAATCACCAAGACCAAAAAGTTTTCACTACGGTCATTGACTCTTAATAACCTAAAAAATGGTGGCCAGTCAATAAGCAGAATGGTCTAAGAGCAGAAAGGGTCAAAAAGCAGAAAAATTGAAAAATATTAACTTTTTTAAGCTAATTGGTAAATTAATTATCAGAAATGTCAATAATACCAGAACAACGAACATTTTTTTTGACGATTCTAATAATTGTTTTATCAATTAGCCCCTATAAACCAGCTTAAGTCAAAAATTTTCTGTTTTTCTCCTCTTGGACCCATTCTGCTCTTAGACCATTCTGCTTATTGCTCCGCCTCCCTAAGAAATAGTCTTTGTTCCGATTCTATAATTCCAAGCATGATACGCGTAAGCTCCATTGTTTTTTTGTCTTTTCTTAAATTTTGATACTCGACTAAAAGGGCTTTAATTTACCGACCCGTACTTAGTTTTTTAATGCGACCTTGCATTGGAAACAATCTAATTCATTCTTTTTAAAGTTGCTGCCCATCAGACATTAACAATAAAGATATTTTAGCAACGGGCTAACCATTAAACCCTAGTCCTCGCATATGTCTATCGGAAGGATCTTGTCGGCGATTTCTCGCATACTGGGGGATGAAATCTTGTTCAACGCTTGTAAAATCATCCAAGTTCTCATACTCTCTTCCCTGCTTATCAGAACTAGCGAACGTCCGGCCTCGGGAATTTTCGAAGCTTTCGTTGGTTCCGTCCACGTCAGAAAAGGGTGCATAACCAACACTAGTTTCTGCAGTCCAATCTTGCTCTTCTGCGCCAAAACTTTGGTCAGACACTGGCTGAGAATCCTAAAAAGCAAAAGTATACGAAATAGGACTTGCAAAAATTAAGTTAATACTATTTAGAGATTGCAACCACGTAGGACAAATTATAGACGTTTCTAAGGAATAGTGTTTGTACTTGCCACAACCCAAAAGAATCATGGCCACCATATAATGGAGAAGAGTTCTAGAAATTCAAACGGACAGAAATAGATACTAATAAGCTTGCCTTTCACATGACCTTTGTCCACTGACTCTTAGCTGCTAAATATAACTGGCATGAAGTAAGAAATGTATTAGATATTCCGATCGGGTCTCGGACAACAGCCGACGGGACTTCCCGCCGAAGAGACTCTGGGTCAAATTTTCAACTTCACAGGCACCTTAAACCCCTAATTTTTCATCGGTTAATAGTTTCCAAAAAATTAGACAAGTTTAGTCCATACTATACGTTATTCATGACGATGCACCACTTAGGAATGACATCCGTCAGTTACATCACCCGGATTTTGAAATGCATAAATTATACACATGAAAAACGACTTCAACAATGTTTTCAAATATAGATCATGAGATTGCGGTTTATTTCGAAACAGTTTCCAAAATCATCAAATATTCGATGACGAAAATGTTCGGCTTGAAGGCCCTATTTTACTATTCGACTTGAATTACCGTCGGCCTGATACCCGGCACAACAGTTGGATCTTAGATTATCAACGCACTACAAACCTCATAGTTAGATGATTCTTCCTCTATGACATCCTGCTCATTGTAAAGCGACGGCGTGTATCCGAACGTCAACGGATAATCATTCTTTGAATCTTGAGGGTTCATTTAACATGTACAGACTCCAACTTCAAGGCTGAACCTTTAAGCTTTCCACTAAAACATAGAACCTAAAAATCGGGTGGAATAAAACGAGGTTATAATTTGATGAGGTCGGTGAGACTCGGGCCCCCAGTCTAGATTTTATAAACTGAATTTAGGGGGCGAAGCAATAAGCAGAATAGTCTTAGAGCACAAAGGGTCCAGGAGTATAAAAACAGAAAACGTAAGTCACAGCTGATGGTTCAAGCCCGGTTTCTCTTTCCTGATATACTTGTTTTAACAATTTTGTTTAGTTGTTTGACCTATCTATAATTCTGCAAACGAGTAACTCATCACGCGTGTTCAAGTCCGGTTTCTCTTTCCTGATATGTTTGGTTTAACAATTTTGTTTGGTTGTTGTTGTTGTTGTGAATTTTCAGTAGGATACTGATGGGATGATATCCCCAAAGTTCTCAAAATTTTGTCCAGTTATTTCGGCACATGTTGCAGTCACAGAAGAGGACCCATGTGCACTTGTTTTGTTCTGAGAATTGCTCGTCGAAAAACTTCCACATCGTCTGTATCAATCTTCGCTTTAAGCCTCGCATTTCTCGAAATTCAATTTTCTGATTTAGTCGGTTTATTAGACGGCACGTCCTGAATGTAAACTCTCCTCTAGCTTTTTCAGTTCTGGTCTTGTTTAGGTTGAACATTTCTTTCGTTCTTCCTGGATTTTCAATTTTTGCTGGGAGCATAATGTGATCGTTTTCTTCATGCATGAATTTCGCCATCATCAGTAACTCGTTCAGCTGGAGAAACAACGCAAGAGGCAGGATGTTTAACAATCTCAGCTGCTCTGTATAGTCAGAATCGTTTCCCGTGATCCATTTTAAGACTTTCTTTTGGAACCTTTCTACTCTCCCTAAGTCGCTTCTCGAGATATTGCAAATAATTAGACCATACGTTAGAACAGGAAGTATTAAGGATTTGTACAGACCAAGTTTTATGCGCATTTTGACTTTGAATTCTAAGTTTCTGCGGATGCAATAGAACGTTTTATTCGCTTTCGACATTCTTGAGTCAATATGGGTTGTCCATGTTAAATGTTTGGACACATGTATTCCTAGATCCTTTATCACATTCGAGCTTTCCACTGCTGTTTCACAAAGAATGAATTTGTGTTGATTTCCTCTAAATTCGACTTTAAAACATTTGTCCAGTGCCAGACTCATCTTGTTTTTGTCTACCCAGTTTTCAACGCTTTTTAGGTCCTGCTGGATGTCCTTTGTGTCTACATTCACTGCTAGTAATTTTAGGTCGTCTGCAAAGATAAATGGGTCACTAAATTTCAATACTTCAGGAAGATCATTTATGAAGATACAGAAAAATAATGGACCAATCAACGATCCTTGTGGTACGCCACTTGTAATTTCTAAAGTTTCTGATGAGAAATTGTCGGCACGAACAAATTGTTTCCTGTTGCTGAGATAGTCTGCGATTATTTCAAGGAAACAGCCTCCAACTCCAATGTTGCTCATTTTCTTTAGTAGTTCATAATGTGGGACTTTGTCGAATGCCTTAGAGAAGTCGGTATAGAATGCGATCACATGGTTTTCAGCGTTCTTGTCAATAGCTTCGTAGATTTCTTTCTAGAAAGATAACATGTTTGTACCAACTGAACGGTTTTTAACAAAACCGTGCTGACTTCTTGTGAGAAATTTAATGAAATGGTCATACAACGCTGGATACATGCATTTTTCCAGGAGTTTACTCATGATATTTAGGAGTGACACCGGCGGGTAGTTTTCCATTAGTCGTTTGTCACCTTTCTTGTAAATAGGCGACACAGCCGCAACTTTCCATTTATCTGGTATTTTCCTTACCCTCTTGATGTTTTTAAAAACGCAATGCAAAACTGTGGTCATTTCTCTGGCCGTTCGCTGGAAGAAAATTGGTGAGAATCCATCTGGGCCCCGCGATTTTGTTATGTCCAGCTCTGTTATAATTTGGTTCAAATATGTTTTTGAGATACTGAAGTTACTCAATATCGTGTTTTCGCACTTCATATCACTGAGGTTGAAGCTTGATTTGGGCGAAAAGACAGAGTGAAAATATTCATTCAAAAAGTTCACTTTTTCTTTGGCTTTAGTAACAGCTATTTCGTCCTTGATCATAGTCTTTGGGAGAGTTTCTGATTTTTTCAGACTCTTAAAGTGTTTGAAAATCAAATGTGTGTTACGAGTGGACATCAAATTTTCCTGATAGTTTACTCTATCTTCCTCTACTGCTTCTTCCACCATTTTATTTAGAGATAGAATGAGATTTCTGCGGTAGCTTGTAGGTTTCAATTTGTATATTCTAGTTTGTGTTCGCAGTTTGTTCATGAGGTTTGAGGTACTTGGCGTAACCCATGGCGGAAATGATTGGCGACGTCTCGTTCTTCTAGGCACATGTTGGTTTACCAAATTTTCCAAATAGTCGTAAAGTTCCTCGCACATTCTGTTGATGTTTGTGTGACATACTGGTGAGAAAGGCTCACTTAGTATTGATTTCTTGATTACGTTATAGTCCACGCTACCGAAGCTTCGAAAGTTTTCAATAGCGACTTTTACCTCATGGTGAGGACATTCAATTAGAATGCTGATTGCTTTGTGGTCGGAGCAATTGTAAATTTTTGAGAAATTTTCGTCAGGAGTCGCATGAATGTGACAATTTTTGAATAATGTAATGTCTAGGGTGTTTTTTCCACAAGTTGGAAAATCTATTGCCTGCTCGAACTGATGTTGCTCGATTAGTTCAATTATTGAGTTTTCTTCATTTTCCTTGCTACTATAGTCAATCCAGTTTGCATTTGGAAAATTTACATCTCCGCAAATAATTGTTGCAGTTGATTGATTTGATTTCTCGATTTCATTTAATATTTCTGCGAAATCGCCTAGACAATAGCGATATTTGCTGCTCGAAGGTGGATTGTAAAAACAGCAGACAATAATTCGCTTATCGTTTATTTGGATCCTGCAAGTTAAACAACATTCAGGTTGCTTATTTGGCAATAATTTAGATGAAAGTGTTTGTTTCACTGCTATTAGTACTCCACCATGCAAATTTTGATCTTTGGCAGTTTGTCGTTCTGATCTATAAATACTGTATTCGTTTAGCATTAGTTCAGATGATGCAATGTTTTCATTTAACCAAGTCTCGCAGAGACATATTATGTCATAGTTTGATGTTGCTATAGCATTTGCAAACTTCATTCGTCGTTCGAGATTTATGAGACTTCTTACATTCATTTGCAGGATGTTGAAAAAGCCTAGTCAAGCATCATCTGCTTGTTCTGCTTCCATCGTCTCTCTTTTCCCATCATTGAACAGCTCGAAATTCCTGATTTTGATTTTCTCCTTTGGGACTCCTTCGTCTAGAAGTTCTCTTCGTCTTTTTAAGCATAGGTTTTCCTTCCTCGCATCTTCTTTCGATAATGCTGGCAGAAGGTAAATTTCCTCATCTCGCAGCTCATCTCTTTTTTCGAAGCTCTTTGCCAGCACCAATCGTGCTTCATGTTCCGTTGACAGAGTTATTAATAAGGTTCTTGACTTGATGCGCTCTTTGCTGAATTTCCCTAGCCTTTTTATTTCTTCAATTTGTGGTTTAACTCCTAACTTTTTTAGTACCTCATGTACTTTTTCGGTTGTGGGGACAAAATTTTCGCCTTTTGATTTCTCGGGATCTTCTCTGATCCCCTGTATACGGAAGCTTTTATTGATATAATGATGTATTTCTTGTTTTACTTCTTTTCCAGCTCCTGGTTGAGCTTTCACATCTTTAACAGGTTTCACACTGAGTACATCTGCATAGCTTTTTTCCAGTTTTTCGCATGTGGTTTTTGTAGCGTTTTCGACTTTTTCATCAACCAATGCCGTCAGCCTTTTTTCCATATTTTCAAGACGTGCTTGTATTCCCTCACTCTCTTTTTCAATTTTCTCGTTCATTTGCATCATGGTCCGACACTTTATGAAGTTATCTCTTTCGTTATTAGTTACACATGTGTCGCATAGAAGCATTGCGTTTAAACCCAAGTCTTTTATGCCATTGATGGCGGTGTTAGTAAGACCAGTGCAGGTGCTCTCAAGATGCATTTGAGCATTGCATGATACACAACTGAAACATCTGTCCCTGGCATTTATGGGTTTTTTGCACGTTTTGCAATTTTTAGTGATATTGGTGGATACAGAGAGAAGGAGAAAATGGGATAGAGAAAATTTATTTACAATTTGATCCAAGCCTGGACAAATTAGCCCAGTCCCGTCACGAATTGAAATTTAAATTTGATCCAAGCCTGGACAATTAAGCCCAGTCCCGTCACGAATTGAAATTTAAATTTGATCCAAGCCTGGACAATTAAGCCCAGTCCCGTCACGAATTGAAATTTAAACTCACAATTTATTTCTGTTCTCGTTTCCTTCGTGCTTCTCGTTGTTTTTTTGACGGTTTCTTTTTCTTCTTTATGATATCACTCAAGTTGCTATTGTTGTTTCGTATTATAGCTAAAGTTTTGATTTCAAGTGCGGTTTCCTGATGCAGTTCTCTGTATCCTTCAAGTAGATCTTTTTCCTGTTGTTTCGAATTCGAAATTATGTCTGTTGTAACTTGAACAACTGGTATCGGAAGTTTCTTTAGATCTTCAAGAATATAGGGTGCACCGTCTCTCTGACAATAGACAAGGCCTTCAATTCGAGGATGCGAATTGATTAGGGGTTTGATTTCTGATACTATTTGATTGGCAGTAAGGGGAGTCCTTGGATTGAATGGATGTTTTGAAATCGAATTGTTTATTACGTCGTGCCAGATAATTACAGACTCGTTTCTGTTAATTTCGTCTCTCAAGATGTTTCGTACGATTTTATTCGATTTCGATTTGGGATGAAACGTTACTCCCTTGTAATGGATGACGTCTTCTTGCAGTTCCTCGTTTCCTCCTACTGATGCCCAATCTTCAAGTGCCAGATGTTATGAGCTCGCTCCAATAATCACAACCATGAAAAAGGGGTCACCACGGCTACCCCGCAAATCATTTAACCTATTTAATAAGTTGTTTGACCTATCTAAAATTTCCCAACTAAGATATGCGCTATTTTCTCAAGTTGGCATTGCTGAAGGTGGAGGCCTACCGGTGAGTCTGCTTTCTTATGTTACTTGATTCTCCTGGTCAAATGTCGAACAGTTTGTCCGACATAGGTGGAAGTGCATCCACTACATGACAGTTTCTTTTGGTTTTGACGAAAATTTTATCATGTTAATTTCATCTTATCTTTCCAATCGCTCACAAAGAGTACGTATTAACAATATTCTATCTTACAAAGGTTACATCTATAGCGGTGTACCACAAGGAAGCATTTTAGGACCACTTTTATTCCTTATTTATGTCAATGACCTCACGGATGTTGTCAAGTATTCCCCACCGTCTTTATTTGCTGATGACCTGAAACTGCTTTATCGAAACAACTGTCATGACAATTTTCAGTCTGATTTAGATTCGATAGAGACCTGGGCAACCCAAAACGGTCTTGATTTTCATCCAGACAAAACTAAATGCATTTCAAACAATAGCTTTATTTTCAATCTTTATCTTAACGGGTCAGAAATATGCTCTGTTGATCATATCAAAGACTTGGGTATTTATATCTCGCCTACTTTGTCTTGGAATCACCATGTTTCTGCGAAACTTGGTAAAGCCACAAAGTGTTTTCATTATTTAAAGCGTAATGTTCCTTTCAACTCACCTATTAAAACTAAGCTTCAAATGTACATTTCTTGTGTGAGGTCCATTTTACTTTATAACTCTTGTGCTTGGTACCCAAATTTATCAAAGCTACGTGATTTGGAAAAATTCCAGAAAAAGGCAGTAAAGTGGATAATTGGTTCCACTAATTATACTGACAGTCTTGTGAAGTTAAACATACTGCCTATTTGCTATCAAATTTTTTTTTACTGATTGTCTTCTCTTCTTCAAACTGTTACATAACTGTTATGACTTCGATATTAATGCCTATGTTACTGTTAGTGAATCGAGACCGGGTAACAGATCCAGTCAGAGAATGGTATTCTCTGTACCTCTTACCCGCAAATTCTGTTCCCTTGGGAGCTTTTTCCAAAGAACAATTCATAGCGTCAATAGTGTTTTAGCAAAAGTCGACATCAACTCTAAAACTACAGTCTCACAAACCAAGACTCTACTCTTCAATTTCCTTAAACAGCAACTTCAATCAACCTTCAATCTCGACAATCCATGCACTTTCTTCATCAAATGCCGTTGCAACACATGTGGTTCCTGAACATTAACAATTTAACTCATGTAACATTCGCCCGGAAGATACATATCGACGGAAAACAAAACTAAGTCCTAAGACGACTGGCTAACGTCTAAACAGAGCTTTACATGTTTTTAACCGTCTCTACCAAGCCAGTACTTTCGGTGGTCTTTCTAACATCGGGTCGACAAAAAACGTCAACGCTTTCGGCTTCGGTCAAAACACTCAAATTAAATAGATTGAATGCAGAAATAGTGAGCTCATGGCTGGGTCTCAGTATCACCAGACCACGAGGTCACTCCTAAAAACAGGGCTACTACTACTTATTGAATCATTTTTGTTTTTGTTCAGTAGATAAAAATCATCATCTCCATCGAATATGGATCAACCCTTTCCCCCAACTCCTAGCTTCTCATCCTAGCAAAATGAATTCAGATATTAATTAAATTCAAATCAGGACATGAGAGGGAAGCTAAAAGTTTATATAAGTTAATAAAAGTTCCAGTCCCGAGACCCCTCCGGATTCCTGAATCCGGGTAAATAAGGCTCTTATCTTCCTTCCGGAAGGCTGGTTTTCCACCCTTCGCCGTTGTTCGCAACGGCCTTGCAACTATTGTAGCGACACAATAGTTGCAACTCGGAGCGGTCTCTGCTACTTCTGCAATTCGTCCTTGTTTTTCAAGCACAATTCTCGTTGTTCACGCTATCGCAACTAAAATTGTTGTGTTTTTCTTCGACTTTCTGCCAAAATGGCAGTTTCTGACGTTTCTCAGAAATATGAAGCCATACTTCGAATTTTTACAATTTCAAAATACCAGAATATCTTGACCATCACCGTTTGACTAATCGTTCCAATAACGTCGTTAATCGCTTAAAACCGTCAATTCGGAAGATTCGCTGTTAAAAACTCGAAATTGTTGCGTCTGCATTTTGGTCCATTCTGGTCGAATATCATATACTCCCCGGACAGTCCGGTCAATGTCCTCATTGAATCTCGCAATGTTCGTAAAATAGGTACAGCGTCATCGAACGGAATTTACAAAATGCACGAAATTACTTTTATCCACGTCATATCGACTCACTGCAGAATATAAATGGCATCATACTACATTACTATAGCCTTCAAATTCTTTCATTAATTGAGGATATGACCTAAGATAAAAACATTTTTTCCTACTTCCAATGTCAATGTCCTGATTAAAACTTTTTCTCCTAGATTTAAAAGGTGTTGGTTTGCAGGACAGTCCTGCCAACCAACAAGCTAAAATTATCCTACTATGCTTCTTCCCTTCGGAAATCTTGCTTGTTATTGTCCTGAATATTAAAACTAAGAAACTCTGTGGTCAGAAAGAACAATGAAACAATCTCCCTCTTCGAGAGATTACCCAAGCCTTTCCTGTCACCACAAAGTGATCAAATCTCCTAGCTGATTAAAAACAGTCATGCAGGCTGGAATAATTAAATATACTCTTTACTCAAGCCTTTCTAAATAAATAGTAGTAAGTGTCTCTAAAGCCACTTAACGAAATTCAAAATGCAAATTTATGAATGCAACAATTTCAAAACTCAACTAAATGTTTCAAATTTCAATTACAACTTGGTTGCTTAGTTTCTCACTTGAGTTTTTTCACACACACTTAAAACAATTCTGAGTTTTAACTTTTTCTTCATCACTCCTTTGTTTTCTTCTTTCTTTGTCGTTTAGACGTTCTAAAATTTCTAAATTCATCTAATTTCGTCTCTTTTTGCATCTCGTTTTTCGGCCATTCGTCAATGTTCCATCTCTTCCTCCTGTGATACTGACTCTGCACTTTCAGTTTCTGTGTCTTGCAACACATCATTAGCTATTCTGACGCTGTTGGAAGCAGTCCTCCAACACTTCTGCTCTTCTACCCTCTGTTTGCAACAAGGTAGGGGATCCACGTTAGATTCTCTGTTCCTGCAGAAGCTGTTGTGGAGACACAACGTCACATTTCTCTCCAAATCTTCCTTCAATATCTCTGCCTTCTCCTTTCCACTACGTTCACTTGTCCTGGAAATTCTTTTCACAGCGGTGGTCACTTCATTCCGATGAGTCACGAGAGCTTGCTTGAAAGCTCCTGCTCCAATGTCCAGCTGATATTCACTGTACACTCTGCCGTGCTTCGACATATGCTTCTTAGCATATTTGTACAACCATGCAGTCATGTTAGCTCTGAACCATGACATCAATCGTTTTCTTGCCCATATCTTCTTCACTTCCATCGGAATGTTTAGAAATTTGCATATTGTCTCAAAAAGATCTAAATCTTTTAGACAATCTAATTTCCGCACTTGTTCTCTCGTTGGTGCCTCCTGTCTTTTGTTTTCTTTCACATGAGCTTCCAGCCATCGTATCGCCATCATAACTCCCTCTATCACTATTGTTATGGGCTGTGATGAGTCTGGTAAACCCATGGAGAGCAGCTCTCCAGAGTCCCAGATCAACACCAGATTACTACGCTTGGGATACCACCAGGTCTGCAGCAAGCAGTGGCAGGGAAACTCGTCATGTGTCAACATGATGCTCCTCCAATTACGTTTTCCCGAAGCTTCCAGTAATGGTTCCACTTCCATCATCACTCGGTGGACTTCATCATTCTCGTCTACTGTATTGTAATCTGTAACAGTTGAACCTCTCTGTTTCTGTCTCTCAAAGTCACTGAAGTTCCCGCTCACGTACTTCTTTCACAATGAACTTCTTTCCCAGTATCGATTCCAACTCCTCCTTGGTTCTCTCTGGAACTGCTGAGAACATCTTACATAGCAACTCGTAAGATTTCTCGGACATTGTCGTTGGTCTAACACACTTTGGCACTGAGAAGGCTTGATCTACGATCGTTCTCGTACTCTTTACATCCACGGCCACAAAATGTACCGGGTATCTGCTCTTGCACATTGGAGCCAATGTCAAACCCACCAAATATCGTGCTCCTGATGGTCTACAATAAGTCTCACTGTGTCTGATATTCATTTCCGCTTCGATCGCTTCCCTCCATTTTCCTATGTGTTTCTGCTCGGTTTGCAGAACTCCTGGGAATACTTCTACACTGATAGCACTGACCATCTCATGTCTCTGTTCTAGATTCAATAGTGACTCTAACGAACTAAACATGCTGTAGAATCCTAGTGCAGTCACTAGATTCACCTCGGTTCCTCCATCACAATCCGCTATCAGTTCCGTTTCCGTTCTTGCTTTCATCACGACGTTCCCAAACAATACCGTCAATTGATTGTGTTGTTTCTCTAGGGTCTTCACACAGTCCAGACCTCCACAAACGTGACCCTCCAGTCCACAGACTTCCGCCAGACAGCTACCAGGTTTAACCCAGTCTTCTGGTCCCCAGCCAGGCAACTCCACTTTATCTTCACCGTTGCTCCTAGAGGCCGTTATCATCACATTATATATGATGTTAAGGTCACGCAGGTTACAGTCTGCATTCAGCTCCCTCTGCACGTCTTGTGTCGCCCGTAATATCGAGACAGCGTTGGGACTAGGACACCATGTTGGCCTCATCAATTCCCACACTGCCATCAAGCTCGTTCTCAATAATTCATCTGATAATCCCAACCCGAACTCCACTCTTTTGTCGGATTTTGGTACGCAAGGTGCAGTCACCTCTTCTTCCAAGACCAGTCCCAATTTGCTCTGTGGATTATTAGCGCTCTTAATTGTTACAATTCTCGACGTCCAGAATCTTAGCAACACTGCCTGCTCGTAATCGAAGAAGCAATCGCGTATGTTTTAACTCAGGAAAGGGTTGT